GTCAGGGAGGGTCAGCTGGGGTGACTGCCCACCCGCCAGGACTCAGCTCAGCAGCCTCCAGCGAGTTAGTCCACCCCAGCTCTGCCCAGACAGTCTCAGAATCTCTGCTAAATCCTCTATTTAATTTTCTTCTCAGGGAATTGTAGGAGGTTTTGCAGATAAAGCTGAGCTGATAAAGTAGGGATTTGGCTGTTCTCAAAGGCAGTAGGCCCTGGGCACTGTCTCATGGGCCCATTGGGTATGAGGCTGCTACACCTGTAGGGATATGTTCCCCCTGCCTCCCTGGCACAGGAAGTTCCTGGTGAGGGTGCGTGAGGGGGACCCCTGGTCATTAGATCTAGGCTTCTGTATATCCTATAGGCTCCTCAGACTTAATGGGCAGTTGGGGCCAGTCAGGATAATGCTCTGTCCCCAGGAATCCCCGCTGGCCTACAGGGAACCCCAAAACCCCTTTTTGATGGAGACCAGGACCTGTCCTCTCTGGAACCCCCTCTTCCTTTCAATATGGGAGCATTTTCCTGGCCATCCACGCTCTGCCCCGCTCCCACAGCTGACTCCAGTCCAGGCCTCCTGTTGGCTTTGAAACCTCAGACTCTCCTAGGTGTCAGCTTTGACCGTGTCCCTCCTGTCCCTAGCTGGTTTCTCTACCACACCCTGGCAAGTAGTTGCCTGGGTCCCGGCGGGCTCAGTCCCTGCAGGAAGCTCAGCGGGAAACCCTGGTCCCTGCCTGCCTTTCACCATATGTGTATCTCTGTGTATTTCAGATGTGTGTCTGATTCTTAGATACCCTGTGTCCTTGGAGAGGAATCCTCACTGTGGCTCTATTTGCCCTTCTGTTAAGTGCAGGTCCCTATCTGCTTTTTCTGATGTGTCTCTGGGGCAAAGCTTGCTGCAAATGGTTGCTCCCTGTCCTTTTGAACCTCCTTCCTTGATTTAGAGTCATTTCCTACGGCTGGATTTCAAAGCCTAGCATGGCTCAGCGGCCCAGCGGTACCTGTGAATCTTCCGTATAGAGCTGGATGCCCCGCTGAGATGCTCATGAGAGACCGTGTGGGCTCTCCTCAGCCATGTCCATACTGGGTTTCCACGTTTTGATGTTTTCTTTTCTTTGGAAAGTGTGTTGGCACTTGTTCAGGTTGGTGTTTCGTTTTGTTTTCCAAGACAAAAGATTTCTCTGTAGCCCTGACTGTCATGGAACTCGCTCTGTAGACCAGGTTGGCCTCGAACTCAGAGATCCACCTGCCTCTGCTACCCGAGTGCTGAAATTAAAGGCGTGTGCCACCACTACCTGGCCTAGGTTATTATTTTTAAGGTGTGGAAAGGTGTAACTTCTCAAAGCGCCTCGCTGAAGTGCCATGTTTTGTTTTGTTTCATTTTGTTGGGATTGGGGACAAAACTCAGATCTTTGTCGGTGCTAGACAACAGCTCTGCCAGCTACATTTTGTCTCTTTTGTTTCTTTTCACTTTGAGACAAGGTTTTCCTAAATTGCCCAGGTTAGACTTGAACTTGTGATCTTCATGTCTTATCCTTCCCAGTAGCTGGAATTCTAGGCAAGTGCCATCAAACCTGGCAAGAGTTTCTTTTCTGTTTTCAAAGCTATGCATGATCTTGGAGATTTGTGTAAATATGGTGTATACATGTGGGTGTGCATGCTTGTGTGTGCATACACATGTGGGTGTGCATACACATGTGGGTGTGCATGTTTGTGTGTGCATACACGTGTATGTGGAGGCTAGTATTGACTTGGTAACTTTTTAAATCACTTTTTCACTTTTTTTTGAAACGGTCTCTGAAGCTCACTGATTGACTGAACTAGCTGTCCAGCAAGGTCCAGGAATCTTCCTGTCTCCTGTCTTCCCAGCTCTGGGTTTAGGGGTGTGTGCTACTACACCCAGCTCCTTACAAGAATGCTGGGGACCCAGACTCAGGTTCTTAGGCTTTACTGACTGAGCCATCTTCCCAGGCCAGACTTTGGTCCTAAAGCAATGGTTCTCAACACGTGGGTTGTGACCCCTTTGTGTGTATGGGTCACATATCAGAATATCAGACATTTACATTATGATTCATAACTGTAGCAAAATTACAGTTATGAAGTAGCAATGAGAATATTTTTCTGTTTTCTGCTTGGGAAAACAGGTGAGAGTCTCTCCTGGCCTCCTGGTCCTGCCTTGCCAATGGAGAGGCTCAATCCCAGTGCCAGGCTGCTGGCCTCAGCCCTTAGCATGTTGTCCATTCCACATCCTGCCTCTGCCTCCCGAGTGCTGGGATTAAAGGCGTGCGCCACCACCGCCCGGCTTTGTTTTGTATTTTTTTTCAAGACAGGGTTTTTCTGTGCACTAACATCTCTGGCTGTCCTGGAACTTACTAGGTAGACCAGGCTGGCCTTGAATTCACAGAAACCTACCCACCTCTGCCTCTGGGTTTAAAGGTGTGAGACACAACCACTTGGCCAGTTTTTCACCTTCTTAGTGCTGTGACCCTTTAATATAGTTCCTCATGTATGACCGCCCAGCCATAAAACTATTTCTTCACTACTTCATAACTCTAACTTTGCTACTGTTATGAATCATAATGGAAATATCTGATGTGCAGGATATCTGATCCCCAAAGGGTTTGCGACCCTCAGATTGAGAACCACTGCCTTGATGTTTCTGAAGGGAAACAGGTCTTTCACAGTGGCTCAGGGGGTCATCAGGGGAGGGGTCCACCCCCAATATCCTGCACATCTCTTTCCTACCGTTGTTTAAACTTGGATGTGAGGACTCTTCTTCCCCGAAGTCCTTGGCCACCTCCTCCTGCTTGTTTGTTGCCTGCGTAGGGCAGACATCTGCTGACTGCAGCCCTGGCTCGGGAATGCCAGGGAGCTTTGGATCCTCCTGTAATTAAAATGTCCCACTGGCCTGGAAGATGGTACTGTGCTACCCACTGCTCCTGCAGCTGGGGCTGCTCCAGTCGGGATGGCTCCTTGGGCTGTCAGCCCAGGCAGAAACAAGTGGGGATGCTGGCCAGGGTACATAGGGTGGCCATGTGGCAGTCTCTCCTTTGCTGGCCCTAACATGTCAGTGTGACCTTGGGTCCATCTCAGCCTGGGACACGCAGGCTGTGCTTGTCATGGGTAGAGGCTGTGAGACTATATAGGGGTTCCCTCCATTAGAACCTTGCAGGCTGGGGGTAAATCTGAGGGAATGCCCTCTGGCCAGCCTTTAAAAAAGGGGGTCCCCTGCTGACCCAGTTCAGTCCACTTATGGCGTCTAGAGCTTGTAAAGCAATCTGTACAAAGGACATCTGCACTCTTGGTCAGTTCCGTGTCACAGAACTGTCCCTCTGTTTCCCAGGCATCCCTGGGTGGAGGGGCCTGGACCCTGGGGGCACGGGCAGAGTGTCCATGAAATTGGCACTTCCGGGAAAGAGAATCCTGCAGCTGGGATGTGGGAACTTTCCCAAGTGTTCCCATTACCAGTGCAATTTGGAAAGAGGTCCCACATCGGAGAGGACCCCTGCACCGACTCAGTACAATTCTGTACCCCTACCATTGTGTCCGCACACCCCATTCCATGTGCCCACTGTGCCTGCGTGCTCCCCATGTAGCCCTAGCTTTGAATGTAGTTGTGACTGCCTTGTCAGTCCCATGGAGGTTTGTGGAATAACTGGTATTCCTCCCTGCACAGGGGAGAGTCTGGGAGAGGCTACTCACTGACACCTCCATGGCATAAATACCTCCTACCCTGGATTGACAAAGGCTCAACGAAGATCTGCTTTGGAGACTCTCCTGACCTGGGGAGACTACACTGAGACCTGGCTTTCCTCATTTGCCTGGGGGTCCAATGGGTGTACCCCACCTGCTGTGCCCCAGCGCTTGACTCCTGAAGCTTAAGATCATGTGATCCCTGAGCAGAGGCTATGTTTTGTCCTTAGCGGTCCCTGGGTCCACACATCAGGGATGAGCCTAAGGAGAAGCCATTGCCATGCTCTGGGTGTCCCCGAGTCACGGAGGAGATAGATGGAGGATCACCTTGGCTTCCAAAGGTTCTTGGTCTCCAGCTCTTGAGGGACAACTCTTTGTGCTTGGTCTGGTTCTGAATTCTCAGGGCTTCTGACCCACACATGTATGGAATGCCTACGGTCCATTCTGGATAGATGCCAGGATCCACCATCAGAAGACGGTCAGGCCAGCGTGGAGTGAGGGGCCAGATACTAGGGGGTGAGCACCAGGGAAGGTGCCAGAAATGCACGGCCTGGGCAGAAGCCTGGGGTGGAACCAAGCTTGTGTGTTATGCAGAGAGACCCTGAGGTTCTTGAGACTGGAAACGGGGGACAAGACAATGGCGAGGGAAGAGGCTGCAGGGGCTCTGGCTGTAGATCCTATGTTGGCTAAGGGTGTGGATTTCTTTCAGAGAGAACCTATTACGTGGGTGCCTCTGGGGAAGTCCTGGTGGGGGTGGGGGAGAACTCAGACCAAAACAGTCTGGAAGTAGGTGGCTTGCAATTCTGCAGTCAATGTCGTCCTCTATTGGTCACATTGGGTATTGACTTAGACTAGGGTTTCTTTTCTTTTCTTTTTTTTCTTTTTTCTTTTTTTTTTTTTTGGTTTTTCGAGACAGGGTTTCTCTGTGGCTTTGGAGCCTGTCCTGGAACTAGCTCTGTAGACCAGGCTGGTCTCGAACTCACAGAGATCCGCCTGCCTCTGCCTCCCGAGTGCTGGGATTAAAGGCGTGCGCCACCATCGCCCGGCTAGACTAGGGTTTCTTATGCCAGAGCTGGATAGCAGTTTCCTATCCATCCAACTAGCGCCCTGGGGACGACTGCCCAGAAAGAACCCTTCTGCAGACGAGGACATTCAACTCCAGATATATCCAGTAGGTGAAACCCCTTCAGGACACTGGCCCCCATCCACAGGAGGCCCTGGGTGTGAGTTTAGCTATGGGATGCAGGAGGAAGAGGGGGGCCTGGCCCTTAGACAGTGGCCTTGGGAGTAGATGGGGTCAGGCTCCCTATGGATACAGATCCCAAAGTGAGCCCTGGAGGCTAAGACAGAGTGGGCGTTTGACCCCCTGGACCTGCATGAGTAGTTTGGACCACATGAAAAATGGGGTCAAGTTGTGGGCTCGTGGGGTGACTTGGGTATCGGGAGTGTTGGAGTTAAGAGCAGGAAGAGGAGCCACTTCTAGGGCTGAGGAATCTGTCCATGTTCTCATTGCCCCTCATACCTTCCCCTCCCCCCAGCTCAGCTCATTCACCCTAAAGGGGACTTTAAGTAGGCTGAGCCTCCTCCACCCTGATGCAGCAGAGAAAACCCACCTCAGGACCAGGCTATGGAGGCAGCCCCAGGAAAGAACTGAGAAGCCAGGGAGGAGGACAGGATGCCAGGGGTTTGGGACCCTTCACTACTCCACTCTGGGGTCCAGGGCTGGCCCCAGGGTCCTCTGGTGAATATGAATCCTGAGTTTCTGCTGCTTGGGTCACAGCAGGGTGAACAGGGGTGAGTTGAGGGCCTGCCTGGCTCCTTCATAAGTGTACGTATGTAAGTGCACATGTGTGTGAGTACTCGTGTGCATGTGGAGTCCAGAGGACAGCCTTAGGTGATATTTTTCAGGCATCATCCACCTTGGTTTGTTGTTTATTTTTGTTCTGTTATTGTTGTTTTGGATTTTTTTTTTTTTTGCTTTGTTTGAGACAGGATCTCACTATGTAGCCCTGGCCTGTCTAGAACTCACTATGTAGATTGGCCTCAAACTCACAGAGATCCACCTGCCTCTGCCTCCTGAGTGCTGGGATGAAAAGTATTTGTCATAAGCTGAAGGGATAATTCAGAGGTTAAGAGCCCTGGCAGCTCTTCCAGAGGTCCTGAGTTAATTCTCAGCAACCTCATGGTGGCTCACAGCCATCTACTGTGAGATCTGGCGCCCTCTTCTGGCCTTCAGGCATACATGCAGGCAAAACGCTGTATATATAATAAATAAATCCGTTTTTAAAAAGTGTTTGCCATGATGACTGGTCAGCCTTATTTTTTGAGACAAGGTCTTTCACTGGCCCAGAACTCATCAAATATAGTTGAGCCAGCTGTCTAGTGAACTCCGTAGATTAACCTGTCTCTGCCTTCCCCCATGCTGGGATTACAAACACCCAATTCCGTCTGTGTTCTGGCAATCAAATTCAAGTTCCTGTAAGGCAAATACTTTTATCTATTTAAGCTATCTCTTCAGCCCTTGGCCCTTTAAGAAGGCAGTTCTGCTCCGCCCCTTGAGTGACCCTGTTGCCCAGCAACAGGAGGCAGTTGGTGTATACAATGTTCTTGAGGCAACCAGAAGCTTTGTTCGGGACAGAGTGACCAGTACTGCCCCACTGATCGTGCCTGGACAACCGCCCAGTGACCCTTCCTTCATTCTGCCCCCCTTCCTGCTCAGCCAGGCAGTGGGCACCATGGCACAAACGGACGTGCTCCTGACTAAGGAGCCAGCCCCACAGTCAATCCAGGCCTGTGAGCTGCCGCACAAAGAGTACGATGTGGCCTGCAATACTGGTGCCTACACATCCTCGGGTCTGGCCACCGCTGGCTTCCGCACAGCCAAATACTTAATAGACGAGTGGTTTCAGAACTGTTACGCCCGCTACCACCAGGCCTTTGCAGACCGGGACAACTCTGAGCGGCAGCGGCATGAGAGCCGGCAGCTGGCAGCCGAGACTGAAGCCCTGGCTCAGCGCACACAACAGGACTCCACGCGAAAGGTGGGAGAGCGCCTGGAGGACATGCATTGCTGGAAGTCAGAGCTGCAGCGGGAGATAGATGAGCTGTCTGCCGAGACTGAGCTGATGCGGGCCCAGAAACGGCGGCTAGAGCGCGCCTTGGACGCCACTGGCTTGCCCTTCTCCATTGCCACCGACAACCTACAGTGCCGAGAACGCCGCCAGCATCCAGACCTTGTGCGGGACTACGTGGAAGTGGAGCTGCTGAAGGTGCAGCTTAGGCCTAGAGTGGGAGGCAGGCTCTGGCACTCATACAGAGTGGATATTGCAGGGCCTCAGGGTTCACACAGTGCTATGCCCCTCTGCCCATGCCGGACTCCCTGGTCCTTCAGACAGGAGGATTTTTACCACATGGAGTCCCTGACTTCCAAATAACTATCTCTCTTGTGGGATCCCCTCCGGCCCCCAAGATTTCAAAGACAGTAACTCTGACCCTGAGTGGTTTGTGTGTGTGTGTGTGTGTTTTTTTTTTTTTTTTAAAGCCATAGGCTCCCCCTGTACCAGCATGCTCCTTAGTGCAGTATTTGCTCTCCAGGCAGAAAGCCACAGCAGTCAGTGCTGCAAGTCTAGAGGGGGTGGAGGGGATGTGGAGGGCCACGGCATCTGCTCTTTCTGTCCATAGTCTCCGAGCCTCAGCTTCACAGATCCCATATACACTTAGAATACCAGCATCTGGGAGACTGAGGAAGGAGGTCACAAGTTCCAGTCTGGACTACGTGGAAAGACTCTGCAACAAAACTAAACAAAACAAAACATTCCACCCCTCCTTCCATTAGACACCTTCCCCCCAAACCCAGCATAGCTTGCTTTGGGAAACCTTGTACTAAGATTAGGGGGCTACTCAGTCTGGATGCTGCACAACACTGAACCCCTCAGAGCTGGAGCCTCCTGTGGTGGTCTTAGGCCTGTGGGTGATGATGAAAGATGGGGACCACACTGGGAGCCCAGGGAACCCCTGTTACACCCCAAGCCTTGACCACCGCTGCGTATCTGAAGTATTGTCAGTGTGCAGAGATGGGCGGCTCACTGAGGACACAGGGCAGTGGAGACCCAGAAAATGTTGGGGTTAAAGGAAACCTAGAGCTTCCTTCCTGTCCTTGGGCAGTGGGCAGCAGACAGAGGGCATCTGCTTTCCTATGCGCTTGGGGTCCTCAGGGGTAGGTGGTCTGGGTCCTGGGATAAGGCTGATGCCCCTCAGTATACTGTCAGAGTGTTGAAGATGACCCCAGAGCCTGGACAACTGTCACGGGTTATCCAACAGCCAAAAGACACCCACTAGAGCAAACACTCACTTACATGCCCAACCTCCTCCCCCCAATAAACCTAGCATGGAAGGGCTGGGATCAGACCTCCTTTTCTGGTGGGGGGAGAACTAAGACAAAAGTCAATGGAGGCGAGGTCCATGCCTTGGCTCCTGCTGGGTCCCTCCCCATGAGGAAGGGCAGGGTTCTGCTACTCTGAAGGACTGTCTCCTATCCAGGAAACTGAGCTGATCAGGAACATCCAGGAGCTCTTGAAGAGGACTATCTCACAAGCCGTGGGCCAGATACGGTGGGTCACAGCAGCCCCAAAGCGACAACTCTGACCCCCACCCCAAGGTTGGTCAGAGGTGGGGGGGCAGGACGGCTAGGACAGTGACTGTCTCAAAGAGGTCAGAAGGCTTTTGGATCATAGCCAGGGATGCAGGCACTGCTCAGCGGGGCATAGACAACTATCTCCACTTCTGTTCTGGAACCTGGGCCCTGCTGGCCATGGAAGGAAGCCTGAGCTGGAACTGGAGCCCCCGGAAGCTGGAATGGGGCCTGCTTCCCTGGGGTTCCCTGGCACATAATGGGGTCCTGCATCTCCTCCTTCCCACTAGGCTGAACTGGGAACACAAGGAGACCTGTGAGATGGACTGGTCGAACAAAGTAGAGGCCTACAACATTGACGAGACCTGCTCTCACTACAACAATGAGAGCACGCAGGTGCAGTTCTACCCGCATTCCGGCAAGTTCGAGGAGAGGTAGGTTCCTAGGCATCCCCGTTTGCCCCGTTATCTTCTTGACTCTACTTCCAAAATCTGAGAAAGGACTCTTGCCCCCGCGGACCTGAACCAGTTCTCTGGGGAATTTCTGTCTGCAGCTGGTGTGAGAAAAGAGGTGCCTGGGTCCCACAGTTCACACTGGGTTGGTGCCTGCTCCAACCCCTGGATCCCCGTGGGTGGCCTGGACTGCGTTTTTGCTCGCGGCCAGCAGAGGGCAAGCAACCGCCATTAGAGGCCCGGGAGAATCTAGGGTTGTCTGTGTGATAAAGGGGATCGCAGTGCTGGAGTCTCTGCGTGGCTACAACCCGACCAGGTCGAACCTCCACTTTCAGTGCCTCCACTCCCGAGACGTGGGCCAAGTTTACTCAGGATAATCTGCTTCGAGCCGAACGCGAGCGGCTAGCTTCGGTTAACCTGCGGAAGTTAATTGACTGTATCCTGCGGGATACGGCCGAGGACCTGCGGCTGCAGTGCGATGCAGTGAACATGGCTTTCTCACGCCGCTGCGAAGAGCTGGACGACGCCCTCCACAAACTGCAGTACCACATGCAAAAGGTGGGACGGCAGGGCACGCCCACCGTTGGACACACCCACCTGTCTGGCCGCACCCAGGACACGCCTACCAGCAAGCCCATCCCATGCTTAGGGCGTACTCACATTTGAGCTAATCCCACCCACCCACCCCTCCCTCCACGTCTTGCACACCTGCCCCGCTCGAGCTACGCCCTTTCCTTATCAATTCCCTTAACCACAGGGACCACTGTTGCAGGTTGCTATCTCAGTCAAGACCTGGCTTCAAGGTCCCCTCTGCTTCCCACCCAAAAGCAGACAGCCACATACCTCTGTAGGCTCCTTGAGCCGAGGTAAAAGCAGATTTATATTTGGGAGTGGCCTGATGGTACAGCCACTCCGGGAGGCTGACCCGTAGGAGCTGCCAGCTATGGGGTTTGGGAGGGGCTTGGTATGCCCGTGGGGTCCTGCTCTGGGCTCTCATTGTGGCCTATCCTAACTCCAAGCCCCAACTTTCTTGACCCGGGTTGGAGGACAAACAGACTGGCCTGACTCATAGGACCCTCTGAAGGTTTCTACAGGGCTGCTCTCAGTGTCCCCAGTCAGAGCTGGAGATGAAGGAGCCAGTAGTCTGGCCCTCCTCACGTGCTGGGCTGGGTAGGCAGGTGCCCTGATTGCTCCAGACTTGAACTGACCCCAGACTCACACATTGCCCTGTGCAGACGCTGAGGGAGATCACTGACCAGGAGCACCAGGTGGCAGCCCTGAAGCAGGCCATCAAGGACAAGGAGGCTCCTCTGCGCGTGGCCCAGACCCGCCTGTACCAGCGGTCACACCGGCCCAACGTGGAGCTGTGCCGGGACGCTGCACAGTTCAGGTACCACTGGAGCGATCCCGGGCAGCGAGGGTCATCCTTGAACCCCTTTAATCCTCCTTAGGCCTCTCCCACAGGACCACTCCCACATATGAGCAGACATGAGACTGGGGTGGGGAGTGGGGAGTGGACCCTGGAGAGGGTTGCGTGTCAGGAACAACGCAAGGTCCCGTGCCACTCTGGGATGCCTAACCCTCCTGGAAGGACCCTAGAGTCTGGCAACCCAGATTCCTGGGGCCAAAGGGCAGAGAGGCGAGGCAGGGCCACCACCAACCCTTGTACCCCTGATGGAGTTCTGTGTTCCATGTACCTCCTACAGGCATGGTGGGTTATGCCTTTTAATTTCCTCATCTAGCCAGCGCCAGGATGCCCTCTTAAGCATAAGTGTCTGTCTTCTTCCTTCTTCATTGACTGTAATTTTATTTTAGAAATCAAGGTTTCAAGGGTGGTTCCTGCCTGTAAACATCATTAGCACCTGTTCAGGCTCTTGTTGCTTATTTCCCCAATCCTTGCTTATTTTCGCCACAAGGGGGCAGTATTTCAAGACTCCCTCTAACTGCTAGGGAGCTAGGGAGACCCCTTGGTGCTGGAAATAAGGGCCAGTCTTGATTTCATGCCAGGTTTACAGTGATCTCGCAACACTGTAGCCACTTTGGTGGGGTTCCTGTAAGCCTTTTGGGGTCCTCTGTAGTAGCATCATTGCCCCTTCCCTCGTCTCTCCAGTGACTCACCATTCCCTTCCCTGAAGGTTGCTGAGTGAGGTGGAGGAGCTAACCATGTCCCTCAACTCGCTGAAGGAGAAGCTTCAGGACGCCGAGCAGGCACTGCGGAACCTGGAGGACACACGCATGAGCCTGGAGAAGGACATTGCCGTCAAGACCAACAGCCTCTTCATTGACCGCCAAAAGTGTATGGCCCACCGCAGCCGCTACCCCACTGTCCTCCAGCTGGCCGGCTACCAGTGACCGGGGCTGGCACCCGGCCACATGATCTCATCCAAATAAAGAGCACCTTAGTTTCCCACCTACAGTGTGGCATAGCATGAAGAGACAGGCGGCCGTCCACTTGGACAGGCATTTCACAACTTCTGTACAGACAGGCTTTGTCCGTGGCCCGTCGTCCTCCATACCTCAGGGGAAACCGTCTATCCAGATGAGGCCAGGTACTCCCCCTCTTCCCATTTAGAGCCCCACCAAACCTGGTTCCTCTTATCTTCACCAGTTTGAGGGTCTTGAGTATCTGGTGGGGACATTGCATGGCTTCCTTTCCCTTTAACCCCAGGCCTGAGGCTCGGCTTATACCCCTTTGATTATATCCCATTTGCTCCTCATGCTGTTCCTCCTGATGTTAGCCCCACTCAGAGAAATTCTTCAGGCAGAACCACACCCCACTCACACCTGATTGCTCCCCCACAGCTCAGCAGCTCTTACTGCCCAATTCTTCTCAGTGGAATCAGGAGGAGAGAACTCCATATGTTCATGCCCTGTGGCTGTTGGGGTAGGGGGTACCTGTTTCTTGTCCTGGACTGTAGGGGGGAATGGGATAACATGCCTCTACCCCAAACTGCCCACACATGGACACCTGACCCCATTCTGGCCTCTGCTCTCCACATCTGTTCCAGGAGATATTGCCACATGTCCCCATGCCTACTGCAGGTAAACATCTGGAGAGGAAATTTTGGAGACATAAAAGCATTCTTGGAAATCAGGGCCTGGAAGGGGACATGGGACAGCTGTGTGGGGGCAGCTGAGGACAGGCAGGGCTTTCTGGAGATGGCGGCCTGTATTTCACAGTACAGACCTCGGGACTAGCCCTGGACCAGGGCAGGAGCCATACTGAGCCAATGGGGCCAGGTGCTTTCTCATCTCTGGAGTTTACCTGGAGCAGGCTCCTCAATTTCCCGAACACATTGTCCTCAGTGCCCTCTGGGAGGATGAAGTGTGCCTTGGGGTCTTTCTGAGGAGGTGTATGACCCCTGAGAGGGGGGCACTTATCCTCCAGTTCAGACAGAAAGCTCAGCTTGTAACCCACCTGCCAGACAACTCCAGCCCTGGGGTTCTCCATGGCAGCCTTTGCCACCATCGCATTTGTCCTTTCTCATCAGCCTCTGCAGCTGGGCATGGAAGAGGCATCGGGTGCTCCCGCCAGCACACTGTTCAGAGGACACGTCACCTCCCGTCCCCAGGGAAACCATGCCGCTTGTCAACACAGCGACAGCGGGACGCAGCTCGTGCTCTTTGGGGTGCCATTAAGAACGTGCCCTGGGTGCTGCCCCCAGAGGGCCCAGAGCAGACTAGTCCATGGGTTTGGGGCACGTGGCACCCGTGAAGCCCGCACCCGGAAACATTATAGGTGGGAGGACAGGAGCAGAAGCTGCAGGGTGCTCGACCTTCCAGGGGCTTCCAGGCTGGAGTGGGGGTGGAGGCCACAGAACCCCCACTCCTTGCCTTGGAATGGTATGGTGGGTTCTGTCTGGGTCCTGTTTCCATGGTCTGGGTAGAAGCGCTACCCCTGCCAGCCTAGGAAGCAGTAGCCAGATGATTCCCTGTGCAGGGGGGTGGTGGCAAGGCCTCCTTGCTGTGCCCACTCAAACCCACTCTCAGTAACATCTTTCCTTTCCCCCATCCTCAAAGCCACTCACCCCCAGGCCTCTCCCTGGGAATGGGAGTCATCTGGGAAGAGGATCAAGCTGGCAGCTCCCTGGGTGAACCTGCCTCTCAGACCCCACCGTCACCTCCCACTGAGGTCATTCCGCACGCTCCAGCAGGGTGGGCCTCCTCTGACTTCCCAAGGGTGGGGGCAGCTGAGCACTATTTTAAGCAATGTTGCCCCATTGTGGTGGGTCTTGTCATTTTACAACTAGAGAAAGCAAGGCCAGGAAGCCCCCCCCCCCCCCCCGGCCCCTTAGGCTCACACCCAAAATAGATAGGAGATAATCTTTCCCTCTCTGTGACCTCAGAAACCTGGGCCATGGCAGGTGAACTTGTCCCCAGGGTCTGATTTCTTCAGGTGGAAGTGGAAACCACAAGGTAATGAGGGTGGTGTTGCTGTTGCCCTGAGACCATCCAGTCTCAAGTGGCAATTTCTCCCTGGAGGTCCCTGCAGCTTGCTTCAGGAAGACCCCTCTGACTCCATGTCCCAGGCAGAGTGAGATGAGATGGCAAGGATTCAAGTTACCACAGCACGCAGGAGGGGTGGTATCCGCCCTGGGATGTCCTCTCCACAGCACGCAGGAGGGGTGGTGTCCACCCTGGGATGTCCTCTCCACAGCACGCAGGAGGGGTGGTGTCCGCCCTGGGATGTCCTCTCCACAGCACGCAGGAGGGGTGGTGTCCGCCCTGGGATGTCCTCTCCACACCACACAGGAGGGGTGGTGTCCGCCCTGGGATGTCCTCTACCATAGCACACAGAAGGGGTGCTATCTGCCCTGGGATGTCCTCTCCACAGCACACAGGAGGGGTGCTATCTGCCCTGGGATGTCCTCTGGACCTTCTGCTGCATGATCTTTCATGGGGAGACATAAAAAACTCTCCAGTCACTCCAGATAGGTGCAGGCATTGGCAGACCAAAAAAAAAAAAAAAAAAAAAAAAAAAAAAGGGATCTGCCCAAGTGCAGCTTGGTGAGCCAATGAGCTGACTGGGTTACAAACACAAGGATGCTTGTAGACAGTCTAAGGCAGTTACGCCATCTGGAGATCCTTCAGGAAGCTTATGGCTGACCACTGAAGGGTCCCCTGGAGCATGGATGACTCACAACAAAACTAAAGATTCCCCACTCCCACCCCGGCCAGTCTCTACCCCCTCACAAGGAGGGAAGTGCCCTATGAGGCTCTCTGAGACTTCCCACCCCAGGAGGGTGGGCCATAGACTGGATCTCAAGAGTCTCAGGCTGAGTCATCAGAGCTGCCCAGATTCAAAATGGCTGTGGTCACGTCAGTCTAAGGAGACAGATACATAATACCCTCTGCCTACTCTGGGCCCATGGATTAAGTTGAAAGAGGAAACACAGTTGCTCTCTCTGATGCTGTGCTGTCCAGGGGCACCTATGGGACCCCAGTAATGGTGTTGCTTGAACTTTTCTTGGGCTATGAGGACAAACACCTTCTTCCCCCCAGATAGGGCACCACCTACAACAGATCAAAGTACAGTTTCACCTGATTCTTGCTTGGTGAACCAATGAGTCTATTGGCTTACTTACAGAGCATGGGTAAGGGGTTGCGTACCCCCACCTAGCAGCTGTATTAATGACCCCCAACATAGATGACAATTCTCTCCCCCTGCCCCACCCCCGAGGTAATCACCTCTGTCACCCTCAGAGCCACCAAGACTGCATGCATCTGGGGTGGGCCACATACAGCTGGCTTGGAGGGATAGGAGGGACTGAGATTTCTGGTGAGGAGTGGGGAACCCTCTCACTCTCCTCTTCAGTGAAGGTCAACGGTCAACAGATCCAATCTTGATGGTCACTTACAAGCGACCACAGCTTCTCTGATGAAGATGGTAAGGCTGTTATGCCTGGAGGAGAGAAGTCCACCACAAGTGGGCGATGACCTCAGTAGAGCAAAGGTAGAAAGGGCTGCCCACGCACAGCTTCCCTGGTACCATGTTACCACCAAGGAACGCAAGTGTCTCCGACTTAACCCCGTGCTCCATCTGTACAGCACAACCAGCTGAGCCTGGATACAGTCATGGTTTGCCTGGGATGCCCCTCAGCTTCCCTCCCAGCATCCACCGCCCCTTGCAAATTGAGCCTCCTGTATGGACCAAACGGTTAGTTTCTTGGAGACCAAGAATTGACACTGCAGCCACAACAGATCTGTTGCTCATTCTTCCTTGGACTGGCTGGCCTTGACTGGCTGCTATGGGATCTATTTCCATATACCTGGCTTTAGACCTGCCCCCCCCCTCCCTTCCCCCCCCCCCCCCGTCACTCATCCTACACTTCGTCCATGTCCTGGAATGGGGGCCTGAACAATAGAACCCCAAACTCACTGTCTGCTGTCCAGGTTACTCAAGCACCTTTATGGACTACTGACCACCTCTACGAGGAGGGGGATGACTCATAGGGTGTTGGGGTGCCGAGTCCCCCGTGCCTAGTACCCCAGCTGCCCCCTCTAGTGCAAGCTTCCCACTTCCCAGCTCTGTGTCATATGGAACACGGCTTTGCAGGCTTCTAGGGCTGGGCATAGCTTCTCCATGGCATAGCAGGTTATCTATGCTGGGAGCCATGACAGCCTGTCGTCACGGTGATGCTGGTGGCTGCTCTCAGCCAGAGCTATTTCTGGCCTGAGACGCGCTGTCCTGTCCACTGAGTCACCCTGAATGCTGACCACTCTGCCCAGAGTTCAAGACGCATACACCTGTCTGGCTAGTCCCCTGGTCAGAAAGACACCCCAACCCCCCACAGCAGGTCTAGAGTTGAAAACCCCAGGCTCCTCCCTATCCCTCACTCCTGAAAAGGCCCTTCCCCCAACACCTTATTCTCTGCGAGAGTCCCTGGCCACTGTGTGTCACAGGGAGAGGGAACCTGGGGGCTAGAGCATCCCTCAGTGACTTCACTGTCTGTCCTGCTACAGAGGACACACTTGATCCTGCCATGACAGCCCATTTATTTCAGAGAACAATGCTCAGACCCATGGCGCCATCTTTCTCTAGGAGACTGTAAAGAGTCCCCAACCCTGGCGCTAGTCACCTAATTCTTTCAGAGAAATGTCCCCATCAACCAGGCCAGACAGAGATGTTTGGGAAAGGGGGGGGCTGCATGGCCTGAGGGAGGGTGATTCAGTCACTAAGGCTCTATCTTCACACCTCCCCCATCTGAGTCATCACAGCCGACAGTGGGTGACAAACCGATGTCCCCAGAGGGGTCTCTGTGTCTGCTGGGTGCTGAGCTGGTGTGAACTGTCACCTGTGGCTAGCAGTCATGGCTGCCCTTAACTCATTCTCGGCTTTTCCTTACCTCTTCCCCTCTTTCCTGGTCATCAGAGTGGATGGTCTAAAGGGAAGCTGG